AAATTAAAAGTATTTTAAAAGAGACCAGGTTGTTTGAAAATCCTAAACGAATGCTAAAAATCGTCAAACATTCTGGTGTCTGAGCCAGAGTGTCATCGAATTGCGATGTAATGTAAACAGAAATTATAGCAAGTTGATGTCAGTCAGCTTAGATGGTCCAAGCCAAAATTATATCGCATTTGAAGTTTCAAACTGAGTTAAAAATAGCGGAAGAAAAGCCGTAATTATACTTATTGTTACAATCCATTTAATAAAATGCAACATTTTTGTTTTAATGAAAAAATCAGTTATTTTCATGAGAACGATTTGTTATTCCATCTCAATTTTTTTAATCTCCAATCGCAATAACGTAAAGTATTATTACCCGCGAACCAATGAGTCAAATTTAAGAAACAACCCACTGTTAGAAAGCTGAATGGTTACGCTTTAAAATGAATGTAAACTTTAACGTTTTCGTCTATTATTTGTTTAGCAATTTACATTTCAGTCGAGGATTGCGCTTTTTTTGATACACCCTGTATACCTGGAATCACCCGTTGGAAAGAACCTCTGTGCGATTATTCATTCAATTATCTATTACATACAAAAATCAATCTAGACCATTTCATTCCTCACTTTAAGCCCGGATCAAGTTGGATTAAGACCCGAGAGTTACAGTATTCACACAACCTTGGTTAACTGTTTTTATAAATGCTTTCCCAACATTATACCATAATGTGTTTTATTTAAGCTGGAACACATTGCCATTGGAAACACTTTTCGAACTCGTTATTTTGCTAATCTGGAGCTTGAAATGTCGTTGTAACAACTCCTGTGGTAACTCTTGTTAATCGCATGTGCATGCGACTTTAATCAAATGTGCATGCAGTTAATACTGGATGGTCTGTCAGTACGCTGTTCCGTCTAGACGTCCAGTAAGGGTCATCCTTTGCCGGTCCAGGAGAGGGACACTGGCAATACTCGACTGTATATTAGGGAACTAATAAACAAGCGATGGTTTTTGTCAAAAACGTTCGCTTGCTTAAACTCACTAATGTAGGAACTAAATTTCTCTCACAGAGATGAAAGACACTCAACCTAACCACTCGCCTTGAAGGTTCTCTTCCTCTACAATGCTGTCCGCTTTGAAGGTTCACTTTTCTCTCACAGAAAACGGATACAAATCCTATAAACTAAGCAGGAAAAACGCTGATACACTCAATGGGTTTCCTCTGACCATACTAGAACCATCAAATTCCGTGTTTTTTTGCTAAGGTTGCCAGAGGCTTCAGAGCGTTTCCTAGGCTATAGGCTTCCTTTAACGTGCTTGTAAGAATGATCTAAACATCCACGTGCATCAATCTTAATTATTATGTGATGTTCATCACGTCTGCGAGAGCTCTTTCATATTTCCTTATATAATATACGTTTCAGTTGATCGCTTTGCTGGCCAATATTGGTATAAGTACATAATGTTTAGCAAAGACAACATTTCTATTTTTCAACCTTAATGGCATTGATATTGATATAATTTCATTTAATGATGCGTCTTTTTGGATTTTGGTTTATTCTAGACTGGTGACAATCACTGTGTGTTTTTTATATTGCTTGTTTTTTCCTGTATATAAACGTTTAATATGAATATAATTATATAATCTTTATAATGAACATTTACACAGTAAAATAAGACAGGTACAAAACAAAACAATATAATCCTTAATTTTCTTGCAATGAAACCAAGCCAAAATGGCGAACCACTCAAGAACATGGCATAGATGGATTTTATTAAACGTCACAGGCTGGCAACAGGTCAATTTCAGACATGCTGGTGACAGTTCCACGAAAACGATAACAATTATATACTATAAACTATAAACTACATCATTCAAATACAAGATTGCTAAGTAATATATACAAGATGAGTGGTCGTGCTCTATCAGATATACAAACTCGAGAGGTTATACCGTCGTGGCCGAAGGGGATGCTATTGTCAGGGTTGTGGCGATGTTGAAATACCATCGTTGGTAGGCGATATGTCGTCAGCATCGCTCAGGACATCATCATCATCATCACCACCATCATCATCATTACCAGACCCTGAACCTGATACATCCGTATCTTCAATTCGTTTTGTGTTAACTATATCAGTTTTACATTTCATATTCTGTTCTTGCTTCGCTTTTTTTCCTAAACAAAAAGATTCACGTTAGCCCTGATTAATGCTGCACAGAAAAAAGGAAAGAATTCCATACATACGCGCTTAAAAATATCACACAACTTGTCAACAAGATGTGTTCGCAACAGGCTTGTACAGCAAACTTGTCAACAAGTTGTAACAATGCTGTTATTTCATCAAGTTGCTACAAGGTTGTCACTCACAACATTGTTGACAAATTGTTGAATTGCAGGACGATAACAAATTGTTGGAACAACTTGTAACAAGTCTGTTAAGCTCAACAACCTTGTAGCAAGTTGTCAACAAGCTGGGAACAAGCAGTGCGAACACATCCTGTTGACAAGTTGTTGGAACAGCATTGCTACAAGTCTGCTGCAGCTTTGTTACAACTTGTGCGTTTTTACGCGGTGTGTACCTTGTTCGATGACAACTTGAACTTCTTTCGAAATAGAACCCAGTTCATTCTCAGCTATACAGAAGTAAACTCCTTCATCAGATAAACTCACGTCCATCACCACCAAAGTTCCTTCGAATGTTTGAAATATTCGTTCATTGTCCAATGCAACTGCCTCGTCGTATTTCTTCCAAGATATTTTCGAAAGAGGCTCTGATATTACTTTACATGGAAGGATTATTTTGGAGCCTTCGAGAACTTCCACAGACTGTGGGCTTGAAGAGAAGTAAGGAGTATCTAAATAAGAGAAAAAGCGTTGTTTTCAGTAATTTTGATGTAAGTCACTGATCTCGGTGACCACTGCGATCCCCAAGTTCAATTATTCTTGTAATATGCAGTTGTTTGATTATAATTTCACCTCCGTCGCATGGGAGAAGAGTAAACACCGCAGCTTTTTACCGCGGTATCACTGGGCAAAATATGTGATTAAGAGCTGATAGAACTATCCAGTATAAGTAAAGTTAGTTTAGTTTAGGTTTCCTTCTGTAGTAACACTGGATCAATAAGAGATGATCCTCACTGGCCCTCAAGGAAGAACAGTTTAGAACTGATAGAACTATCCAGTATAAGTAGAGTTAGTTTAGTTTAGGTTTTCTTTTGTAGTAACACTGGATCAATAAGAGATGATAATAGTTTAGGTTCCTCCTGTAGTAACACTGAATCAATAAGAGTGATCTTTACTGAACCTCTAGGAAGAACAGTTTAGAACTGACAGAGCTATCCAGTATACTCAGTATAAATAAAGTTAGTTTAGTTCATGTTTCTTTCTGTAATAACACTGGATCAATAGGAGATGATCCTTACTGGACCTTAGGAAGAACAGTTTAGAACTGATAGAGCTATCCAGTATAAATAAAGTTAGTTTAGTTTAGGTTTCCTCTTGTAGTAACACTGGATCAATAAGAGATGATCTTTACTGGACCTCTAGGAAGAACAGTTTAGAACTGATAGAACTATCCAGTATAAATAAAGTTAGTTTAGTTTAGGTTTCCTCCTGTAGTAACACTGGATCAATAAGAGATGACTCTTACTGGACCTCTAGGAAGAACAGTTTAGAACTGATAGAGCTATCCAGTATAAATAAAGTTAGTTTAGTTTAGGTTTCCTCCTGTAGTAACACTGGATCAATAAGAGATGATCCTTACTGGACCTCTAGGAAGAACAGTTTAGAACTGATAGAGCTATCCAGTATAAATAAGTTAGTTTAGTTTAGGTTTCCTCCTGTAGTAACACTGGATCAATAAGAGATGATCCTTACTGGACCTCTAGGAAGAACAGTTTAAAACTGATAGAGCTATCCAGTATAAATAAAAGTTAGTTTAGTTTAGGTTTCCTCCTGTAGTAACAC